CTTTGTATCAAAGTCTTCCCTGCGCTCTTCAGCATCTTTATGTATGAATGAGAATGTACATTGCTTGTCGAGATTCTACTCGTACCGCATTGTCTATTCAGTCTTTTTCATCACATTGCAGATTCTCGGTTTATTACATACATTACATATCTGTGCATACAATATCAGCGCAGCACCATAGCTGCTTTGGGTTGTCCTTTGGACGTCAGGGCAAGGCCCTCATTAGTCCGCCATAGCCTATGCATGAGAGAGGAGGTTGAAGGAGGGAAGCCGTAGCTATGGTGGACTTGTTGTTGTTGTTGTTATTGTTGAGTTGAGTCAGCAGTAAGAGGGAACTTCGGATATTGATTCTGGTTCATCCRTTCATTGTTATTATTATTATTGAGAGAAGAATAAGATTGGTGAAGTGAAGGAGGACGAGGAAGGTGGAGAGAGAAGGGGGAATTGTCATTGGTCTTGCTGGTGTACATCTTCTTCTTCTTCTTCTTCTTCTTCTTCTTCTTCTTTCTCTCTCCTCCGGTCTCTATCTCCTTGCAAGTGCTTTCATTTCTTTCGCAATTGGGTGCCATTGTCTTTCATTGTGAATTTGCACTTTGGAAATGACCAGGATCGTAACAATTGGTATCAGAGCGGACTTACTTGCTAGCGAGAGGTGTTAGTCACCCTAACCCTAATTCCGAATAAGGTTAGGGCAAACCTAATCTCGGATTAGGGTTAGGAAGTTAGGGTTAAGTGGGGCAGTGAGGTATGTGGATACTGCCCCCACCTGGTTAGGTCATGTAGGGTCGACATTGGACCTGACCAGGTTGCTTGAGTGAATGGATGGGGTGGCGAGACACAAAGGAGGCTGATTGGAGTAAGCGAGAGGGAGTAGAGAGTGAGAGGTACTCGCACCTGGAATCTGCACTTCAAGAAGACATTGAGTGACTTTTGGGCTTCCCCTCACAAGGGAGACTTGATCGGAGGCTGCCATATCTGGATCGAAGAGCTGCAGGTTGCTACTTTGGTCTTCAGACATTGACGGGGGATCCGGCTTTGCAACAGGGGTGTAGGAAGGCCCTCTTAGTCATGCTAGGACACTTCATGTAGTGGTAGCTAGGGGTCAAGAGGACTTATGAGAGAGGGGGGTGAGTCGTTATCCATCTTTGGAGGCCGTGCCTCACAGGTAAGTGTCGTGTGACCTGGTTAGCCCGTGGGAGGTTGCTTGGTGCTTTATGGCCTGTTGGGGGTGTGTTGGGCTCTCTTCCTCTTCTCTGCGGTCTTGGCTGTGTATGTGAGCATGTGGATTGCTTTCTCACCTGCTGGATGGATGGATGATGTACCTGTTCTAAATGACATATATTTTTACGATGCAATGTCTTTTCATTTCTGAATGGCTGTAGGGGTAAGTTCTTGCTGAAAGTTGTCTTTTCCTTTTTCAGTACGGTAGAGGCAGTTTGGGACCGACTCGGTACCCCTATCACGTTGGTCTTGGTCCACGACCTACTTGGGACCCCTCGGGACCCTGTGGGACCAGGCCCAATGGGACAAGACCTTTCGGGCCCAAATCTGTTGCCGCTTGTGCATCTCTTTGCTGCGCTGAACTTGGGGGACATACGGCTAGCAAGGGCATTCCTTTCAAGGGGATCTTGACTGGTCTTACTGCATGATATCACATACTGCCCCTTGTCTGGCTCGACGACCGTCTGCACCCCTTGAAACCTCCATTGCTGCAGTTAGTTTTCTTCGACTGATTTATTGTGGTACATGTCCCTTGTCAGGTTAGACAAGAGGGGATCTCCAGCTAATCTGATCGGGCCC